CCCCACGTGGACGCAGGAAGGATTCCCTTCTCCTTGGGGAAGGGACTGCAAGGGCGCTGCCGACCACCAGAGGGCACTTGAGAGCCACCTGGGAAAAGGTCTCAGCCCCACCAGGGGCAAAGAGGGTCACCATGTGCTAGAAGCCCACACAGGCCAATATTCTGTCACAGCACTAAGACACTCAGCCCCCATCAACCCCCCCCCTCCCACTCATGCCCACTTCCAGCGTCTTTCCTAGGACCTTTCCCCGTCGCTCCCAGAGCAGCTCCCCTCTCAGTGATATCCTCACACTCCCAACCCCCTACCTGTGATATGTCCTCCCTGCCCCCCACACTCACCCCACCAGGCTTCTAGGACTCCATACTGGACTGGCAGGGTGAATATTAATCGGTACTTTCCTGTTTGTTATTATTTGTATAGTTTCTTCTTTGATATTCATGTAAGATGAGAACAGCTTTTCTTCATTTTCTCCCTCCTTCTAGAAAGTTCGTGTGACCTATTTTAAAGATCCAGGACTGAGAGTAATCCAAGACGCCTTTAGTCACGAGAAAAAGCCATTATATATCCCTATAGTGGGAGGCTATTGAGAGTGAGTCTCCGTCATCACACCCTACACACACTTACACAAATAGGAAGCACTGCAGAGAGCATGAGGAAGGGATGAGGCGTGGGGGGAGGAATACTGTGGCCCAGAGGAAACACTGTGGTGACGGGCTTATGCACTGTTTTGGGTGTGATGATCACTGCATGGGTGTACATATATCTTAGTGCTCATTAAACATTACTGATCTATAATTCTTATTCTGTTTAGGTCATGGCCTGTTGTGAATTTTATTACTAATCAAATGCTTACATGGTAAGAAGGAGAGACAGAGCCAAAATTGATGTGAAGTCACACTCCATCCACCTTCATGCACCCTAGTCTCTAACATACTCCAGGTAAGCACACAATAAAGACATCCTGTTCTTATTACAGGAAAAAAGTTCTTGACAGTTATCAAGCCCATATTTTATTGTGTTGCTAGTTCGGGTTTATTTTTCATTTGGTTTTAGTTTTAGGGCCAGACCCAGTGATCCTCAGAGGTTCATCCTGGTTCTTTATTCGAGAATTACTTAAGAGTAATTACCTAAGGTGCAAGGAGTCCTCGTGGAATATTAGGGATAGAACCTGAGTCGTCCGTGTGCAAGGCAAGTGCCATGAAGATATGGACATTCCTGGAACTAATGTGTAAAACTAGAAAACACTTCAGCATCTAAATATTCACATATTCACCAGTTGTGGGCCAGCAGGAAATACTTCTCTCTGAGATGGAATCCAGGTCTTGGGAGACCCCTTCTGAGAGGCTGTGGGCCCTGCTCCATGTGCGTATTTGCATCTCTGTATCCCTGAGCTAGAATCCCGCCACTAGACACACGGGGAGTGGAGAAGGTGAAATCATGGTCGTGGTCACAGTCAGAAGCCCAGGATCACGTGGTGTTGGGTAATGAGAGCGTGTCCGTGTTCTGTCCCAACCTCGCTGTGACTTTTCTCTGTGACCATTATGCAGTAGAGTGAACCATGCATGCCTCTCCCTCTGCCCCTGTGATCCCTGACCTTAGAGGCGTCATGGCCATGCTGAGGAGATGCTTCACTCGGAGAGTGCAGGGCCACCAGGGGGATGTGTTCGGAAGGGCTGATCCCCAAGCGACAGCAGCAGCAGTTCCTGAGCAAGGTTCAGGGGATCCTGTTGGCAATGCCAGAACTCAGCACTTCCAGTTTAAAGGGTGTGTCACCTTAATTCACCTGCCATAAAATTCCTAGAAAATAAATGCCATTTACTGAGACAGTTTTGGAAGTACAGAACAGAACGACTATAAAGAAATGCATAAGTCTGAGGTGGTATTTTAAGAAAGAAATTGTGATCAAAAACTGTATTGTTATAAAAACCCTTTAAATTATATCTGCAGAATTGTTCTAGTGTCTAGACTTCTATTACAGTGCTCTTAGACAATCGGAAATTGAGATTTTCAACATGGGACTAAAAAGACTAGTTAAGATGTTGTTAAACTGTTGTGTTCTGTCTCTGCAGATGTTGGTGCTTAACTAGAACTGTTAGGTTGAGCTCATGGAGACTCACCCGCAAGCGGGGAGGAACACAGGGCCTATGAAAATGGGTGAGCCATGACTCCTGTGTCCGAACTGGTCAGGACAGGATTAACATCTCTTCCTTTGCGACTTTTAGCTCTTAGTATCACAAAGAAGCAATCATCCCTTTCTCACAGATCGCTAACCAAGCTCAGCTTTGGAATACAGACATTCTCTCACATTCCTAATCTCTCCAGGTGCAAGAGGCTGTAGCTCATGGTGCCAGGCTGCTTGACCTTGCATTCCTCTCTGGAGGCTGTGACCCTTGGGCTTTCAGACGTGACAGAACAAAGTAGCCTTGATGTCCTGATGTCCCTCCTGTAACCCCTTTTCCACGTTAATGCTTTCTTTGTACTGAGTGCATTAGGTGTGTGTACATCACTGTCACTGTCCTCCTGGTGTTCATCAATTCGCTCGAGTGGGCCCAGTAACATTGTGAGACTTGTTGTTACTGTGTTTGGTATATCAAATATGTCATGGGTAGCTTGCCAGGCTTTGCTGTATGGGTGAGATATTCTTGGTAGCTTGCCGGGCTCTCTGAGAGGGGCAGAGGAATCGAACTCGGGTTGACCCAGTTGGCCTCATGCAAGGCAAACGCCCTACCCACTGTGCTATACTTCCAGTCCTGTGTGTACATAGGATAGTAAATAAAAGAGACCGTGGGACGCTTCTTCGCAGCTGCCCTGGCAGAGTGAGCTAGCAGCTCTCCAGCCATGTTTAGAATTCTTCTCGAGGTTCTATTTTTGCACCCCCGACAGAAAGAATATTCACATAAGACTTTATGTATTCTGTTTTAGTTATTTCGTTGTTGACGTATATATTTTTCACTAATACTGCTATATAATAAATTTGTTGGCAGCTGTGCTTAACTCATGCCTGATTTATGAAGTCTTCATTAACTTAGCAAATTTAATATAGAATTTTTGTTTAAAATCATTACTTAAATAAATTATCTTTTATTTTGATCATTTAAATTATTTTTATTTGAGTGAATGACTTGTATCGATTTAGAGAATCTCACAAAAGAACACTCAGTATCACCTTTTCATTTATATATATATATATTAATTTGATTTGTCAATATTTTCCTAGGATGTATCTACCTGAGCTATCCCTAAACACAGAGCCAGGATTAGGCCCTCAGTAGTGCCAGATGTGACTGAAAACCAGAACAAAGGTCCATAAAAGAATATGACTAGTGAACAAGGCTTCTGAAGTAAAGGTCCAGGATTCTATCCTGTATTAGAGACACCAAGAGGTTAAACTCTGAGAACCCAGAGGCTCTCCCTGCAGGGTGGAGACCAGGCTGCAGGGGGCGCCAAGTCCCAGGAGCACTGAGTTACAGGCTAGAAGGAGTGCAGAGGTGAGAGTGGTTTCTCTTCAGAATCAGGAATACAATATGAGAGAAATCTAATCATGAACAGCTTTGTCAGGGTCTATCTCCCTGTGATTTAATAAAAAACATATAATAGTAATAAAAAATTTAAAAATCAGAAAAATAAATGCTGCTTTCATTAGAAAACCAAAATTAAAATATATATAGGACATGATCACGATCATCCTATTGTTCATCGATTTCCTCGAGCAGGCACCAGTAACGTCTCCTTCTTCCTAGCCCTGAGATTTTAAAAGAGCCATTTCAATGCTCTTTCAGGATTAGGAGAATGAGACCCATCGTTGTTACTGGTATTTGGCATATTGATTACGACATGGAAAGTTTGCCAGACTCTGCCGTGCGGGCAGGATACTTTTGGTAGCCTGCCAGGTTCTCCAAAGGAAAAAATAAGATGCCGCATGGCCGTGAATGTGGCCACAGGCTTCCAGGAGCTGGGTTTTATAGTCTCTGGGTCTTGGCCGTTGATGGGACCAACCTGGCGCTGGCCGCAGCTGGTGGGTGTGATGCCTACCTACTGGAAGATGGGGGGGTCTTAGTGGAGAAGGCCCAGTCCCAATCCGAGTAGGCTTGGAGACCTCAGCCCCGGACCCGCATGCCAGTTCCTCTGCCAGTTTTTTCATGTATGAGGCTCATCTGGATGTGTGGAGAGTGCTCCCAGCATGGCCGTGGCTGGCTCCAGAGGTCCTCAGCTACTGGGGCTCTGCTCGGGGCGGGGGAGAGAGAAACTCAAACCTCCCACCTCCAAGGGGCCCTGGTGAGGACAGCCAGGCGCGGGGGCAGGAGACTCTGCGCTGTTCTCCAGGAGCTGGGTTTTATAGTCTCTGCATCTTGACCGTTGTTGGGACCAACCTGGTGCTGGTGATAGCTGGTGGGTGTGATGCCTACCTACTGGAAGATGGGGGGGTCTGGGTGGAGAAGGACACAGAAGGTTAATTTGTGTGTACTTATCACTTTGGGAGAAACACTTAACATATTGATAAGGCAGTAAAACCTGTATGCAGGTGACTTCTAATATCTCCAATGGAAACCACTGGAGCATTATTCTGGCTTTGTAGTCTCATTGTAGTATCCCTTGAGGGAGTTACAGGATGCCAGAAACAACCTCAAAGTACAGGTGTGTCCAGATATCTCGAGGTCATAAAAATGTGGGGGCTCTGAGGTAAGGTCCTGACAGGGCTTGCCCCCCTGAGGAGGATCTCTGTGTGCACAGAATCCTGGGACAGGGCAGGGTCTTATCTTCTCAAACAAGGATCACAACGTGGACCTTTTCACTCCCCTTGAGGATGGAACCAGTGGCTTCCACCAGCCCCTTCTCAGGTTGGACCAGGCCTTCAGTTATGAATTCTACATCCACATGAATATGCAAATGACACGAGGAGCACTGAGTTAAATACAGATGTGTCTGTGTCCTGACAACATCACACAGCACACACACACACACACACAGCTTCAAAAGCTTCTGAGTGCACAATCCTCATCATGGATTGGACCTGGAGAATTCTATTCCTGTTGGTAGTGGCTGCAGGTAAGCGTCCCCATGACTTGGGCTGAGGGAACGGGGCCAGTCAAGTGGAGTCCACCCACTCCTGTCTGCTGTCCACAGGTGTGAATTCCCAGGTGCAGCTGGTACAGTCGGGGCCTGAGGTGGGAAAACCTGGGACATCAGTCAAGATCTCCTGCCAGGCGTCTGGATACACCTTCACCAGCTATGGGATGTACTGGGTGCGGCAGGACCTGGGACAAGGGTTTGAGTGGATGGGATGGATAAACACTAACAGTGGTGGTACAGGCTATGCACCGAAGTTCCAGGACAGGCTCACCTTCACTGTAGACAAGTCCAAGGACACAGCCTACATGGAACTGAGCAGGCTGAGCACTGAGGATACGGCCGTGTATTACTGTGCGAGAAACACAGTGTGACAACCACATCCTGAATGTGTCAGAAAACTGAGGGGGAGGCAGCTGTGCCAGGTGAGGAGATGACAGGGACTTGATCCTCCTGACTTCTCCTCAGAGTCAGGGTCTGAGACAGAATGGGGCTCACAGGGCCAGGCTTCATCTGAGGGAAAGGCTTGGGATTTCTCTCATTCAGCAACAGCCGAGAGGCAGATGAATCTCTAGAACACCTGGAGTCACTCATATATTCTTGTTGGATTGTGGTGGTGCTTCCCAGATGCTAGTCAAAGAATCACTTTTAAGTATGTGCTGAGGGCTTCGCAGATTCTTGGACTGTTTTCTCCAGCACAGTCATTCACTCCTGTTTCCTGTGTGGCTGAGCTTCTTGTGTTTCACAGTTACCACAGGAGCTATCACATACCAGTGTGTGCTGGGACCATTGCAGATTTGGGACCATGGCTCCAGCTCCAGGAAAATCTTTGATTATTCTACATTTTAGGGCAAAAGAAAGTTGTTCTTTGGAAAATTTAAATAGGCAGAATTCAGTGCTGAACTTCATTTCCTCTTCTCAGCATCATACACATGGCACTTAGCAGGATATGGGACACAGGACACCAGTTGTGGGGAGGAGTTACCCAGGTTCATCAGCATCTGTGCCTCAATTCCTGACCTCCTTTCTGTGGTTTGTCCTGAAAAGACAGGGACATTCCTGGAACTAATATGTAAAATAGAAATAATTGGCGCATCTAAATATGCACATTTTCACCTGCTATGGGCCAGCAGGAAATCCAGGTGTTGGAATCCAGGTGTTGGGAGACCCCTTCTGAGAGGCTGTGGGTGCAGCCCCGTGTGCATATTTGCATCTCTGTATCCCTGAGCTGGAATCCCCTCACTAGACACAGGCAATGGAGAAGGGGACACTAAGATAGTGGCCACGGTCAGAAGTCCAGGACCACAGGGCTTTGTGTAATGATAGTGTGTCCGTGTCCTGTTCCAACCTGGCTGTGACTTTCTTCTGTGACCATGATGCAGTAGCGTGAACCTTGTGTGCCTCTCCCTCTGTCTCTGTGACCCCTGACCTTGGAGGCATCTTGTCCATGCTGAGGAGATGCTTCACTCAGAGAAGACAGACACCCAGGGAGAAATGCATGGACACTTACCATTAAAAATGAGCCTAGTTTTAAGAATCTAGAGAAACAAGTTTGACAAAACCCAGAAATTAAAACTAGAGAATTGGTACTTAGAGAGATAAGCACATTTCCCATTAGTGTCCATGGAGACTCCATGCAGACCTGAAAGAGGACATGGTACGGGCCGCCACATGCTGTTTGCCCACAGTCTTCCTGGACATCTGGGGGCCGACTCGGGCTGTCCGGGGGCGCCAGGCCCAGAGAGAGTTGGATGGAGAAGCAGAAGGGGCAGGGGCTGAGCTGCTGACCTTTGTCCCCTTTGGAAACAGCTCCTGAGGGCCAGCAGTGGGGAGTGGCGGTTTCAGAACCTTCCAGGGCTCCTGCATCATGTACACTGCTCCCCTTTCTACCTCCCTACATCTCTCTCTCCCTCTCTCTCTCCCCTTGTCCTTGTGTCCTTCCCTCTCCCTCTTTCCCTCTCTCTCTCCCTCTCTCTTTCCCTCTCCCTCTCTCTTTCACCCTCTGGCCCTTGTGTCCTTCTCTCTCTCTCTCTCTCTCTTTCTCCCCCTCCCTCCCTCGTCCTTGTGTCCTTCCTCCCTCCTCTCCCTTGACCCCTGGAGCTTTTCTGAGGGACCGAGGTGTGGGTGCTGGGCACTGGGGCTCAGCGGAGGGGGAGGTGCCCTTTCCCCCTGTGCTTTCCTCCTTTATTCAGCCCTGTGGGAGACCCAGGCCACCCTATGTTCTCTCTGTGTCCCTCTGCCTGCACGGGGAGTTCTGCTTTGCTCTGGGTTTCTGGAAGGCACCAGAGCAGGGCCTGGGCCGGCATCTCTCAGTCACTGGCTGCCCGCCCAGGCCAGACCCCTTGTTCTCAGAACAAGAGAATGTGTCCCTGCAAATGACTCCCTGCTCCACTTTTGGTCACCCTTGTTGCTCTGCCCTCTCCACAACTCCATGCACCGAGTAATGGGCACTTCCACCTCAGACAGGAAGAGGGGTGTGAGGTGCAGGAATGTGTCACAGCATTTAAACCACTCAGCTTCTGTGTGGACACAGAGTGCCCTGGGAATTGTGTGGAGATTCATCCCGCTGCTCCCAAACCAGCTCCCTGTTGGGGAGGGGAGAGTGAGGTGCAGACACAGGATCTCTTCACGCCTCTTCTGTCTGTCTCCGTGGGCACAGGCTCTGTCCTCCACCAGGCTGACTGACTCTGAGGTCCCATTGGGCATAGAGGTAGGGCCCATATTAACAGCTTGAGTGGATCATCTCCATGGCTGTGTCCAGTCTGTCATGGGACAGGAGGCTTGACTGCTGCTTTTGAGTTGACATATGAGTGTGAACAAGGGGTATCCCAAGTCTGGTCAATTATCAGGAGAGTCTGGGCTCTAGCTGGGATCTGAGCCCTTGGGAAACATGAGGCAAGTAGGGTCTGGGTCAGGGTGCATGAAGCCCTTTCCAGCCGGTCTCTCAGCTTCCATCCTTCGTTTTCTGCCATGAGGTCCCAGCAATGGCCAGAACTCTCCCTCTTCCTCTACCTGTGATGTCTGCTTCTGAAATAAGAAATATTTGTGGAACACCAAAAGTTAAGAAAGACATGCATTGTGTGGTCACGTCACTCGATGCTCTCAGATGACCTACTTACATCCACAAGGTGGACAGAGTAGAATAAACAAATTCATCTACCTTCTGGAAAACCAGGCTGACATGACAAGCAGAAATGGAATTAATAAAAAGTTCTGTAGATGAAGTTAAAAACTCAATTGTTGCCCTCAATGATAGAGTAACAACAGGGGAAAACAGTCTCAGTGACCTTAAGGATGGGATGCAGAAAACCTCTGGGCAACAACAAAACTTGGTAAAAGACCTCAAAATAACTCAAAGACAAACTAGAGAAAGAATTATTTTTAAGAGTAACAACATAAAAATCCTCAGAATCACAGAAATATAAGGAGGTAACTGCAATAAAGTAGTAACAGTTAAGGACATTATTGCTGAAAACTTCTCCTAGCTGGAGATCACAGGAACTCAGATCCAAGAAGTCAAGCGTGTACCAGCTAAAAGAGATTCTAATCAAAAGACTCTGAGACATATCCTAATAAGAAGGACCAGCACCATAAATCGAGATCAATGCTGAGAGCAGCAAGATCAAAGAAGGAAAGTACATACAAAGGAGTGTCCTCATATTGACAGCAGAGCTATCAAATGAATCCTCTGGGTCCTAAGACTATTGATAGATATAGTTTTTAAAAAATTAGCAAATTGGAGCTTCATCAAAAATACTTTACCCAGTAGATTCTCATTCATATTCAAAAGAAAAGATACATAACTCATGGACAAACAACAGCTCAGAAACTTCAAGGACTCAAAATATTATTGAAAGAAAACCTCAAGGAATGACTATAAGGCAAGACAAACACAATAATCCTCTAAAGAAAGATAGCACAAAATTCCATGACACGAATCATTCTCAATGGTAGTGGTCTAAATACACCAATTTAGACACAGGATGGCAAAATCAATTGAAACATTGACTGCAACATTCTTCAGCCTGATAATACACTTAAAGGAACTGATAATACACTTAAAGGAACTGATAATACACTTAAAGGAAGACATTGGTAGTGAAATCTATCAAATCCTTTTTTAATTATTATTAGTGAAAGACCATGAGGTATAGCTGTAGACTTACAAAATTTTGTGCTTGGGTTTCAGTTATACAGTGATCAAGTACCCATCCCTCCACCAGTTACCATTCTCCACCACCAATGAATCTAGTAGCCCTCCCATCCCCCCAACTCCTCACCTCGTCCCACCTCTGTGGCAGGGCATTCCCTTTTGCTCTCTCTTTCCTTTAGGGTGTTGTGGTTTGCAATAGAGGTTTTGAGTGGCCATGGTGTTCAGTCTATAGTCTACTTTCAGCATGCATCTTGCATCCAGAGCGAATCCTCCAAACACCCTTTTCTTAGTGTTTCCTTCTCTATCTGAGCTGCCTTTTCCCCAACCATGTGCTTCCGGCTTCCAAGCCATGTAGCAGACCTCCTGGTATTTATCTCAACTATTGTTGGATGTTCCTCTCCCATTCTGTTTATTTATATTCCCCAGATAAATGCAGTCTTTCTATGTCTGTCTCTCTCTTTCTGAATCATATCACTTAGCATGATACTTTCCATGTACAACCACTTGTTTGCAAATTTCATAACTTCATCATTTCTAACAGCTGCATAGTATTCCGTTGTGTAGATGTACCAAAGATTCTTTAGCCAGTCATGTGTTTTCAGGCACTCAGGTTTTTTTTCCAAGATTTTGGCTATTGTGAACAGTGCAGCAATGAACATGGAAGTGCAGATGTCATTTCGACTATACCTTTTTTGCCTCTCCGGGATATATTCCCAGGAGTGATATTGCTGGGTCAAATGGGAGCTCAATATCTAATTTTTTGAGAATCGTCAAAACTCACCCCTTTACTTCTTCAGAAACACCTGGACTGGCTCCTCACAGGATACAAGAAAACGTGAGCTGACCCTGAGCCAAGTAAAGGAAATTGGTTCCTCCCATTTGCTCATATGACTAAAACACACCTTGTTCCCTCACGTCTTGTTAGGATGTGAGGCATTGTTTTTTCAGTACAAACAAAAGTTCATCTTGTCTGCTCCGAGTTACACACTGGAATGTAGTTTTAAGGTATGAATCTGACAGGAGTGTTGGGGTCTTTGGTGGAGGTTAGAGACCCTGACCCAAAGTGCAGTGATGGAAAGATAAGTAACACTTCTTTTCCATCTCCTCTTTGCCTCCAAGAGCTCTCACTGAACTCAGGATAACTCGGGTGCCACATTAGAGCTACCGTGGCTGTGAAGGGGAGACTCACCCACTTCAAATACACTGCCT